GTCTCCATTTGACAGTCTTTTTAGTTAGTGGACAGGCACATGATGTAGGCTGACTGGGCTTCTGAAAAAAAGTCAGACACGGCAGCTATTAAATGCATCTCCTTTCATGTGAATTTTCATAATGATATGGAAGAAGTGGAAAAACTCATTTGCTTTGGGGGGAAAATGTCCAGCCAATGATCAGGTGGCAGCTCAATCCCTGAAGACCCAGCGCTGGAAAAAGCTAAGGTCAGGAAATAGAAAAAGTCCCCTGTGCCATCTGCATTTGGTCCAGCCATCAAACTTCACACCTTCCCTTCTTCCTTCACTCGCTGCTTCCTTTACTGCATGCGATGGCTGCATACCGGAATCAACAATTACATTCCCCCTTTGTTTTTGTGGCAGATGACAAATGCATGGAGGACATCTTGTGTTTCCTAGGCAGGCAGGGCACTTACTTTGATTGATGCTCGGTTGTGGAAAAAAATGAGCAGGGAAGGAATTACAATGGAGGGCCTGCAGACTGGAAGGGGATATACTAATTAGTCCTGCATTAAGCAGTCGGCTTGCATTTGGTGATGAGACGCCTTCAGGAGGGAAGTGTAGGGGTTATTGGTGCAAAACAGCGTGGAATGCATTATGCCAGGTAGCAGTGTATTCATTTTGTTAGGATGTCTAGAATTTTGTAATTAAGAAATAAACAGGCTACTGTATTCTTTTTTTAACAGCTCCCCAATATATTGGGTAGGCCGTGCTTTTTAACTCTAATGATCTCATAGACAAGCTGAAAAGTCCTCCTCTCTTTCTGAAATAAATCTTCCAGAGTTTCCTCATCCTGGATCCAGTTCTAGGAAGGGAAAACTGCCACCACTTCTATGCTTGCGGGCTTGCTCTTTCTAAAGCTCCACTGCTCCAGAGCCCGAGCCTTGACCCTTGCTGCTGGGACACAATGTAATAAAGAGAAAGGAAGTTTTCCCTCAGGCCACTCTTTCCAGGTTTTAGAGAGAGTCGTTGCTGATGTGACCTGGGAAGAACCCTAAGGATATCTCAAGGCAAATTCAGCATCTTCCATAGACAGGGGCGAAAGCAAAATGCAAAGCGTGTTCCTCTGGTTAGCATGTGTGGTTTGCCCTTCTATTTTTCGGGCTATAGGCAGAGGCAAAGCAGTACATGGTGAGGCGTTCTCATAATTCAAGGGTGACACAGATGCTCTAGGTAACGGGAGTGCGTGACTCCAGGGAGATGTGACTGGTCATCTTGGGGTCAATAAATCCTGAGCAATGGAGAACTGGAGGGTGATAGGAAAAGGTGCTCAAATAATTGCTAATATGGGTGACTTAAAATTGAAACCTTGAAATGTTGATTTGCTCAATTTGGCCTGAAGAATCAATGAAATTGGGTTCAGTGACTCCAGTGAGGTGGCTTAGAGAAAAAAAAAAAACAAATCACACAGGTCTTTGGTCACAGTCTGATAGAAGAGGACCTAACCTCCCTTGAGATCCCAGTGTAATTTCACTAACCCACCGTGTTGGTATAGATAATGATTCCTAGTGATTCTTTGTGTTGAAACCCAGTGAACTCTCAGGCGTCTCATGTTAACCTAGTGGGCGAGTAAATGGTCCAAAGTTTTTGGTTCAGTTTATCAGAGTTGTCAAATCCTGGTGCAGCTGAGATTCCCTTTTACTTTTCTTATTCTAGAAACAAGTTCATCTGTGGATTTACAGATGCCTATGCTAGCAAAATAGATCTAAGTGATAAAGATAGCATTTTGAGTTATCAGAGGCTGTCGAGTCTTTTTTTTTCTTTAAGTTTTATCCATAAACTGGAGCATAAGACACATCTCAAAATATCAGAAATATGATCAGATGACTACAACCTGCCTTTCATGGACAGAACCAGGAATTGTGCCAATAGCTCTAGGAAGAAAAGCTAAATAGTTAATGTGGTTTATTTTTTAACCATCCCTTTGTTTTAGAATTCTATCTTATTCTTGAGCTGATTCCATGTCACCATGACCTTCTCCTGCCAAGAAGGCACAGTTAAGGCATCCTTCAGTAATAGCCTAGGGCTTTGGACAAGCAAGATGCTGTGCTGGCTTTTTGCCTTTTTTTTTTTCAATGTTTACACAACCAAGACTTATTACATGCTCTGTCATTTTGTTACTGGGCTGGCTTTGGTCTGAGAATTAGGTAAACATCAGACATTCCATCACATAATTTTAGACTCAATCTTACTTTATAATGATGTTAATGTTTACTATACAAAGCAAGATGCATTTGTATATTTTAGCATTTTATTTCAGTCACAGAATGCAAAACCTGACATTGGCATCAGTTTGTGTTGTGTGTGTGTGTGTGTGTGTGTGTGTGTGTGTGTGTGTGTGTGTATGATTGAAGATATTAAGCACTACAAGAATGCTGAAGTTTCAATCTGATTAGGATCAAAATTCTTCAGGATCAAAACACTCCTTTTCCTCCCCCTACAGTTTTACTAATTGTGTGCTACTTGACATTGTGGAGTTATTCCACAGCGTGATAGCTAAATATGTGAAGTATATTTTACTGTGCTGAATTATCAGCTCATTCTATTTGTTTTTCATGTGTTTAAGGTTATTAAAAGAACTTAAAATTAGAAGTCACGTGTACGAGTTGAAAGACTGAACTCAATCATTGTTAGCAGATGAAATCGTAAAGCAATAGCTAGCATGTCAATATCAAGTAGTGAAAAAAAATCACAGAATTTGAAAGCATACCTTCTCTGTTCATTAGTTGGCAAGATACCAGAAAAATTAGGATACTAGCACAATGGTGAATGGCGGACGGAGTTGTTTATTTTCAGCACTCTCAAATTATTCCAGGTACTGAAAACAAGATAAAAGTAGATCGGAAAGAATGGCATCAAATGTATTTGTTGGAGACCTTGCTTTATGGGAAGAAATGAACTGCCCTGGCTCACTGTTCCCGAGAAATTGTATTTCTTCAAGCTGTAAATCAAATCCCAGAGAGATAGCATGACGTTTTCCAAATAATAACAGAGGATGACAAAGTTCCTTTTTGTCAGCATCAGGTTTCTGAATTTAGACCTCGATTAAGATTCCAGAACGAAAAAGCGCCCCCTGCCCCACACACACACATGGTCTACGACTGTGTCTTACAAACAATATATTCATTTTCAAAGTCTGGATCTCTGGCATATCCGCAACCCAAAATATATTCATAGCTTCCTCCAGAGATCCTGATTTTTCTCCATTTTCTCTAAATTCCCAGCTACAAAGAACCTGATGTGTCTTTTCAGGAAACAGCATCATTTCTTCCCCCAATTAATTGAAGAGCCATCTGCTTCTGTGATACCCGACATCCATTCGTTCTTAGCAACAAGTGTGTTCCCTAAATCGCTGGGGGGCCATACCAAGGCATGCACTCTGGGTTGGGAGTAGAATCTGCCAGAGCAGCCTCACAGGCAGGCTTTTTTCCAGAGACACAGTATATACAGAATTTGACACTGACCTTGCTCCCTTGTCAGTGTTGCTAATGCAGGGTTCAAAACACAGTACAAGGGACTTCCCTGGTGGCGCAGTGGTTAAGAATCCACCTGCCAATGCAGGGGACACGGGCTCGATCCCTGGTCTGGGAAGATCCCGCGTGCCGCGGAGCAACTAAGCCCGTGCACCACAACCACTGAGCCCGCCCGCCACAACTACCGAAGCCCGCGTGCCTACAGCCCGTGCTCTGCAACAAGAGAAGCCACTGCTCGCCACAACTAGAGAGAGCCTGCAAGCAGCAATGAAGACCCAACACGCCATAAATAAACAAACAAATAAGAAACACAGTACAAGATGCTCACAGTTTGAGACTTCGGCTAGCTTAGTGTCTCTCCATTACGCTTCTGAAGATCTGAGTTTGAAATGATTAAACAACTGCAAAGGGCGGGAAAGATCTGAAACAGCTCTCCTCGACCATGGCCAGAAAGGGAAGAAGAAATTAATACAGAGGCCACCTGTCTGGTTTTACTACATAAAAGCTTCTGCTTCAAGCTGTACCATCTCCTTTGTGTCCCCCTGCGTGTATTTAAAAGTGGAGTTCAGAACCGGCTTTAGAACCTTCTAGGACTATAGATGGCAGGGCCCTCATTTTCTAGGAAGAGTCTACTGAATGGTCAGAAAAAGAATCTCTTGTTGGAAAAGGGCAGCCCTTTCCTAAGAGGTCCACCAGACCAGTGCCTCTTGCCTGATGGGACTGTCAGATCCTTTGCACACATAGTGAAAACAGCCCTGCTGAGTCTGATGAGGGAAGAGTGCATGAGGACGCTGGTGTGTGAGTTACTGTTTGGACCCAGTCGGAACACTGCTGGTCCTGCTTTGCTTAGATGCCACAAAAGGTGCCTCGGAGGTGAGCCTGCTGGCCAGGAGCTGGGAACCAGACTCAAAGAGCTGAGATAAGTTTCTCCCTTCCAAGAGTCGGGAGATGGAGGTACCTGCCCCTCTAAATAACCCTCTTTCCGGAAATACAGTGAAAAGTCAGCACCTTTGAGAGCTGCCGTATCCACATGAGGCACTCTGCCCCTGTCCCCGGGCTCCCCCCTCATCCCAGTTTTGCTGCTAGTCAAGTAGGAATTTTTATGCGGCTCTGGCCTAGTTGAACTTGTCTTCTCCCATGTCTGTTTTGAAACTGAGACCACAGATTTCACAGTGGAATTTGCTCTCTAGAAAATGAAAGGGTCAAAAAGGCACTTAAGGCAAAGATTCCCGCATCGCTTCGTGGGAGAGAGAGCACAAGAGACCACGAAATCCTGGGTGAGCGCCTGCAGATCCAGCAATTTCTCTGGGCCCGGAGGTCCAGCTTTCAATCTAATCCCAACAAAAGTTGGAGCGATTTATGTCTCACTTTTTCTCACTGCGCGCTGACAGGCATCTCAAATGTACAGGAGATGTGAAGGGAGAAGTTGGCATGGAAACCAAAAGAGCATCTGAGACAGTTGACTCCGGCTGGGATCAGCTGTCCCCGTGCATAGGAGGTACTTACAGTCCAGGTGACTGTGCCTGATGCCCTCGACGTCTTCAGCGTGGATGAAGTGGTAGCATCTTTTCCCTCCAATGTCTACAGGAGTCAGATCCATATAATCACTAATCCTACAAAGAGAAGAGCACAGTTCCCTACAATGTCTACAGGAGTCAGATCCATATAATCACTAATCCTACAAAGAGAAGAGCACAGGCTGGAAATCAGAAGGGCGGGGAACTACAGAAACTGTTAAATGACTTAGAAACAAATGTATTGACAATTTTCATTATACCAGGGTACCTGTGAGGACTTGGCACTGAGGGAAAACCTTTTTTAGATAAAATTATTTCCTTTAACATATAAACAGTCTTTTTCTAAAGTAGGAACTATGCTAGATCAAGCAATTGTGTGGAAATAATTAGATAGGTTTTTCTTTTCTTTTTTTAGTATCAGAATACCCATTTAGACAACATAATTCTATGAAATTATTGAGAATCGGTAACAATGCGAGATCCTCATTAGAGGCCAAGATAATTCAAGGTTACATAATAAAATAAAAACATGTTATGTTTATACCAAATGATTAGAGACACCTTTCATTTAAACAGATTGGTCTTCTATTGGGTATTTCCATGAAAAAGGGCTTCGACTGCTTCTTGGCACAAAGTCCAAATTGGCATTTCAAGGGATATAATTTAAATGCTGAGACATACAGATGCCTGGGGGGTATTATCTTTTTTTGTCTGAGTCATTTGGGAGCTCAGCTTTCACTCCGGCCCCTTTTAACTGGGACTTTGTGGTGGATTCCACACGGAAACTTTTAAACCATTCTGGCAGCTCTGCCAGCCTTGTGCTCGACCGTACGTGTGTGTAAGCTTCTGTCACTGTCCAGACGGCAATGTCCTCAGGCAGGAGCACAGAAAAAGAACAAAAACTGGAAAAAAACGTTGGGGGAAATCTGCCTGGTTTACACGAACACGCCAAAATGCGGCTTCTCTTCCTCCCTGTCCAGGTGCAGATTCATTTTGGTCCATCCCGAAGAGAATTTATCTTTTGTTTAATTGATTCTCTTTACTGCCCCTGTTCTTTTCATGGTTTCTGACTTATCAAATATGAAGTGAATCTTTAGCTATGGCACCTTTAAGAAACCCATGAGATTGCTGCTGGGGAGTGAAATCTGACCCCTAAAGACAAGGAAATAAGAAACCAAACCAAACCAAAATGATACGGAAAGTAATGAAAATACACTACCCAGTGAGTGAATTGCTCAACATCTAGCAATTTAAATCATATTTTGGGCCAAGCTAGAATTCTTGGAGTGTTTTCTCAGGATTCCATGGTTTTCTGGTACAAAACAGATTAGCTGGTGTTTTCCTAAAACCATTAAATGCTTTCCAAGCACAGTTTATACCCTCTTTCTGCAAACGAGGGAATCAGGATGTCATTAAAGGCCTTCATTGGTGTTTCTGGAATTTGCCCACTCCTCTGAAAGCATCAGATGTGGGCTTTGCCCAAGGCTGTCCTAGGGATCTGCAGAGTCAAGGAGCGGACTCTGTTTTCTAGTTAGCAGATCCCTAATTCAACTATAAACCCTGGGAAAAAGGCACTCCATTCTTTTAGGGAAGACAGTTCTTTATTTTTTATTTGAATGAAATCCTTCAAAACAGTGGAAGCACTTTTGTACTCTCGGAGCCTGTTACCGTGGTGCATGTGACCAGCTCAGGGTTCAAAGACCTCTTAATATATGTGTAGAATGCTCTAGACCAGTCTGATGACCTGTATCAGGATCAGAAGCCTGATGGCATCTTGTACACCGAGCCTCAGTTTCCTTATCTGTAAAACAACTTCAGAGGCTGGTGAGGGGATTAATGAATGAAATGACACGAATGTAGCACAGTGTTTGACACACAGGTATGCTGTTCCCTCAGATTCAATATGCAATTGCCTTTAACGGGGTTCCTTTTTAACAATTACTATCATCTTCAGTGGAGGAATAATGCTGTATTGTACTGGCTAATAAGGGGTTGTGGAAAACACATTTTTTAATGGGAAGAAGAAAGCATAAAGTGGGTCACAGAAAGTGATCTCAATTACTGGAGTGGCACCATAAGGCACTCAGGTCCATGGAGTGCATCAAAAGAATTAATCAACCTGTGATAACAGGAATGAGAATTAGATGATGGCTTGGGGACAGGACAGTCACTGGGAGTTACGTAAATAAGATGAGTCTTTTTTTTGCGGGGATTGGTGGTTGTGAATCTAAATCGAGGGAGCCGACGTATGTTTCCAAAGACGCAAAGCCATACTCCATCCCCTGGCTGTCTACCTGCCTCCCTGGGTGTCCAACATTCTAACTTTTAAATCAGAGAAGAGACCGCTTTGTGGGCTGTAGTTGTGTTCTTTCACGGCTGCATGTGTATGAAAGCTCCAACTCAGCGGTTATTCCGATTCGTTACCGTTTAGTCTGACTTCTGAAGAAAAATTAGAGACAAGGAATGCAGGGGGATCCCACAGGAGGCATGGTTTTTGAATATGGCAGATTGGGGTTCAAATCTTGGCCTCAGTCAAGGCACTTGACCTCTCTCTAAGCTGAAACTGCGTGGGGCCAATGGACACAGGGGCAGCACCGACCTCACAAAACCGTCCCCAAGCTTCAGTGACATAGTGCATCTAATGCACTTCGCATATGGCTGAGGGTGTAGCAAGTGTTCAATAAATGTTATCTCTCTTCATTATTCCTGGCCAACTCTAGCTACTCATTCTGGCAAACTCATCTTTTCTGATTCTCTGTGGCCATGGCAGAATACCTTAGACACAGCCAAGTATACAGTCATGATGAGAAAATTTTAATAAATATCCCCCAAACTTGGAAACTAGATTGAGCTACTCATTAAATAATAGTGACAGGTTCATGATATCTTCTATCCGCCTGAACACTAAAAAGCTCAGGGCGGGTAGTCTTTTCCCATGGTGAATTCTTTCCCCTGAATCAAAGCCTCACCGGAAAGGGGAGGCATTTCCAACTTGATCTCAACATCTTTAGCGCTTCCTAATGGACTGAATGCAGGCGCTGTCTGTCTTCCTCTGGGCTGGGCCCTGAAGAGGTCAATTTCCTAAGCCACTTGACCATTCCTCTCTTTTGTCCCCCCGCCCCCGCCCCGAAGGCAGTCACAGGACTCAGCAAACATGTGCTGCCTTCACGCCTGACAATAATCTGAGCCACAAAAGTGTCCCCGCAAATTAATTCGGTAATTCTCCCCGTGGCACCAGGGTGGATGGATGGCGTCGCCAAGCTTCCTTCCCACAGCCGACGCGTGTTCACCTCCCCTCCCCACCACCCCGTGATTCTCTCTTCTTCACATCAGTCCCATGATGGGCTGGTGACTTCTGGGTGAAAGGTCTGCAGGGGCACTGTCCCATTTCCTTGTCCCTTGCTTTGTGCTTAATGGAAAAGTGAACTTTTTAACCAGAGGCTAAAAAGTCCTTTTAGAAGAGCTCCGTCTGCCAAGTCATTCATGTGATGAGTCATCTTTCTTTAATTTATCACAGTGAGATCCTCAGGATTACAAAGCGTCATTGAATGGTTTTACAAATTTCTTTTTTATCTTTTTTCCTCTGGGGCCCTCAAATTCTCCTTTGTCCTCTACATGTTTTGCGGACTGAATGTTTGTGTACCCCCTAAATTCGTAGAGTGAAATCCTTACCCTCCATGTGATGGTATTTGGAGGTGGGGCCTTTGGGAGGTAATTAGGTTTAGATGAGGTCAGAAGGATGGAGCCCCCCATGATGGGATTAGTGTCCTTATAGGAAGAGGAAGATCAGAGACACTCTCCGGCTATATGAGGACACAGCAAGAAGGCAGCCCCCTGCAAGCCAGGAAGAGTTACACCAGAAACCAAATCTGAAGAGCGTGCCCCCTCAGGAACCTCAGCAGCCTGTACCTTGATCTTGGACTTGGCAGCCTCCAGAACTGTGAGAAATAAATGTCTGTTATTTGAGCTACTAGTCTATGGTAATTTGTCCCAGCAGCCTGAGCTGACTAGGACAAGGTGCTCAATGCCTCTGTGAACACTGACCATCATGAGGCTGGATCCTTGAGGAAGTGGGTCTGGCTGAGGCATCAGGAGATGCCTTACTGCATCGTTTTGCCAAGAATGTCTCAGCCCACCTCTCTCCCTGGGTTCTCGGCCAAAATGGGTCTTAGTTATAGCATATGGATGCCTGGGAATCCTAATTCCGTTCCATTGCTGTCCCTAATGTAAATCAGGGCAGCAATGTAAATTTCAAATAAAAAGCATGGTTGGTGTCAGTCCAAGCAGCCATGAAAAGTAAGATCAGGATTTATAATGAGCCTCACTGGGAGAGTAAAATCCTTCAGACCGCTGAAAACACCGGCCCTTACCAATGCACGACATACAACAGGGCAAATGAAAACAAAAACAAAGTACCTATTTTCACAGTAAATGATATTGAGGTCCATATTTACTCGAGTGACGAACATATGGCAGTCAATTCTGACTTCATTGATCGTAGGGGGAGGCAAGGCATGAGCCACAACCACGAGACCCATGATTTGGCTGGGGACGGTCCTCCCGTGGGACAGCGACACCCTGAGTCGTAGCCGGCCCGTTATGTGAATCACCTGTAATAGAACATTAAGTACAGGACACAGTCAAATTTACATCTGGGCTGTAAGAGTACTTCTTTTGAGAAATGCAAAATTGCATCTGGAATAACCAGTGTTAGCTTGTATCTTGTGTAATCATAAGGGCTGTCAAAGTGCCCTCCACGTCCTCAAGGCAAGAGACAAAAGAGAAATAATATTATACTCTGAGCATTTCTCAAGGCAGCATTATTACTATGCTATTGCTATTTCTCAGGACTTTTTTTTTCTTCTCACATTTAGAGGAAGTTCATAACCAGATAAAAGGACAAGAAAGTTGAGCCCTGAGCTGCAAAAAGAAACGTTTGCATTATCAGCCCTTATTAATGGATGATGTCTGTCTCTCTCCAAATCCGTACTGAATGGGATTCCATGGACATCTCCTTTCCGAAGTGTGGCTCAGAGCTTTCCTTCATTTGCAAAAAAGCCAGACTCTAATGATTAAAAAAACTCAGTGACGGTGAAATGAATGTGTCCTTCTGAGCATAGAGATCCCACGTTAGGCAGTGCTAAGTTACCCGTACATGTAACGCCATGCTTTCTCGCAGCGCCGTTTGGGACTGAAGGTTAGAGGACCTTGGAGTATGATTTGTTCCCTAAGCTCACACACCACAGTAGGGTCAGGAAGCCTTGCACCATTTTGGTGGCGGCTCAGAAGTCCCTCCCGTTGCTCAGAAACGGGAGGGACAACGTTGGGCTGTGATTTTTGGTTTCTTAGCCAAAGTATACCATGGGTAGTCCAGGCCACCCTGAACCAAAAGAAATTGGTTCATCATCCTCACATATGTTAAATAATATTATTTTTACAAAGCCATCTTTGGAAAAAGTTCCTTTGTTTGTAAACTGAACATAGGAGAAGGGCCATAGTGTCAGTTTCCTTAAACGATGTTTTGGGAAAATGAAATCATAAAAGGATGGAAAGAATAAGGATTTGGGTGGCAATGCTTCCGGATGATAGAAGGCAGGTGTGTATATGTTGGGGGGGGGGG